ATCTGCCCTGCTCTGTGCATGACGGGGCGGCGCCCCAACTCCCCAATCGGCCCTGCTCTGAGCCTGACCAGGGGCTGCACTTAGGGATTGGGCCTGCCCTCTGCCACCCGGGAGCAGGCCTAAGCCAGCAGGTCGTTATCTCCCGAGGGGTCCCAGACTGCGAGAGGGCACAGGCCGGGCTGGGGGACCCCCCTCCCCCCGCCCCCCGAGTGCACAAATTTTTGTGCACCGGGCCTCTAGTTATTATTATAATACCTATTCTCCATGAAATCCATTGTCTCTGTGAGAAGCCTACTGGTTTAATTTTAAAACATTCTTGCGTTTTTTTACTGTATGAAGCTACTTTCACTGCTCCTGCTTACAGCCTCCTGCTGTATGCAGCCCAGGAGATGAAAACACTGATGAACAAATATGAAACTATCAAGCAAGATGTGGTAGAATGGACCCAGCCTTCCAAATCTCTATGTTCCAGTGGGCGATAAAAATGGCAAAAACCAAATCACAGAGGCTACTGTTATTGTGGTGGTTGTGGAGGGCAATATTCAAAAATATAGAGTAAAGTGTATTTTATGTTACCCGAAAATATCAAGAACCACTTTCTTGAGAAGGTAACAATTGAGCTAAGTCTAAGGGTGTAAGTAGATATTCTTCAGGCAGGCAAAGGGAGGAAGGGAATGCCTGGCAAATAGAATTGCCTGGGAGGCAGAAAGGCCCAAAAGGGAGCATGTAGATTTTTGGAAATATAAATACATCCTGGAACGTGCATTTTGTGTATTTTTAAAAAAATATATTTTATTGATTTTTTTCAGAGAGGAAGGGAGAGGGATAGAGAGTTAGAAACATCGATGAGAGAGAAACATCGACCAGCTGCCTCCTGCACACCCCTGACTGGGGATGTGCCCGCAACCAAGGTACATGCCCTTGACTGGAATCGAACCCGGGACCCTTCAGTCCGCAGGCCGACGCCCTATCCACTGAGCCAAACTGATCAGGGCCATTTTGTGTATTTTAATTTTTGATGTGTTTCTCTCTAATTTACAAGAGAAATACTTTGGCTAAAGAGTATTAGTTTTATGATATTGATATGTATCAACCTGTGAAATCATTCAAATAAAAATATTATGTGGCCATGTATAAGGAAATTCCTTGTAAGTATTTGTTATTTTGATATATCAAATATTCAATTACAAACCTCCATGTACTTCTATTGATAGATTCAAAAGGCAAGTGAAGTCTGGATCCTTAGAGGTGATTTCAATACCTGCCTTTTTTTATCCAGACACGTTACATGCCATGCAATCAGCTGAGGACTCACAAAACCTAGAGAGGTATGAAATTTAGAAAATTGTAGCCTTAAAAAACTAACTTCATTTGATGAAATGTTGGAATCAGCATCTAATAGATCCTATTTCAAACACAGCCAGCTCCTATTGACTTGCAAGAGCTATGTGGTTCACTTCCCAACTCTGTATTCAGTGACATCAGTTGGTAACATGAAATCAGGAGCATTTACACCACAGAAATGGGCAAAAGCTACAAATCAGGGCTGACCCCTGTCCCACGCAGAGAGACAGGTGTTAAACACCACCAGCACACCACTGATACTCTATATTCAGTAATTAGCAAAAGCATAATGAAGGGGAAAAAAGCTTAGGGTTATAAATCATTACACCTGGATTCTAGATCATCCTAGGCTGGTAATTTTTCTTAGCTTCCTCAACTTTCTAGTGTGTATAATAAAATCTGCATTACCTATTCAGAAAAATCATTGTTAATTATGATAGGATTTATGCAAGAATTTTGAAAAATTATATATATATGAAGGTATATTATTGTTTGGTTGTAAATGTGGTAGCTATTACAAGAAATATAATAATTGGGTTCCTCAAAACTTAGTAGAGCGAAAAACATGTCAGAATTCAGAAAGAGGTCTTATCCCAATAAACTCATTAGCTCTGCTTTGTTTTAAAATAATAAATGGCATGTCAAAATCTAGAAATATTTTAAGGGTTTTGTTTTGCTTTTTTCTAATTTTATTTTATTTTTCAATTCTTTATTGTTTAAAGTATTACATATGTCTCCTGTTTCCCCCATTGACCTCTCCTGGGTCATTCTTACTCCCCCAGCACATGCCCTCACCCCCCTACTGTCTGTGTCCATGGGTTATGCTTATATGCATGCATACCAGTCCTTTGGTTGATCTCTCACCCCCCGCCCCCCAACCCTCTCCCCACCTTCCTTCTGAGGTTGGGTGTTCTGTTCAGTGCTTCCATGTCTCTGGACCTATTTTAGTTAATCAGTTTATGTTGTTCATTATATTCCACAAATGAGTGAGATCATGTGATATTTATCTTTCTCCAACTGGCTTATTTTGATTAGCATAATGCTCTCCAGATTCATCCATGCTGTTGCAAATGGTAAGAGTTCCTTCTTTTTTACAGCAGCATAGTATTTCATTGTGTAGATGTACCACAGTTTTTTAATCCACTCATCTGCTGATGGGAACTTAGGTTGTTGTTTTGCTTTTTAATTAATGGCCCACAGTATGCTCAGTTTTTAGAGTCATAATGCTGGGAGTCACTCTAAAGCCTTCTGCCCTTTATGTCTCTATCATCATTTCTCTTTTTTAATTTCTTTCCACATCATTCCTCTCATCCCCATTTCTCTGCCTTGGACTTAGTTCAGGCCATTTCAGATCTATTTGCTTTCCCTAACCCCAGCCTAGCCTAGCCTTTCCTCCAGTTCATTTTCCGCACTGTAGGCGGAAGAATCTTTTCATATGAGATCAAGTACAAAGTTTCCTGCATGTCATGAAAGATCCTTCATGATTTGACCTCTGCCAACCTTCCCATCATTAGCTTCTCTCCATCAGCTCTCTGTGCCCTAAATCTAAGGGGCTGCTGTTTCACACATCCCGTGGCTTTGCAATACTGTTCTCTACACTGAGCGCCCTGCAACCTTCTGCTTGACCCTCCCCATCTTATTGTAAATCATCATGGTCAGCATCCCTATATAGCTCTTATATACTTGTTCTAATTGTATTCTTTTTCTATATTTCTTGCTAGATTATGGGACCTAGAAGGGCAAGAACTGCATTGTGTATTGCTCTTTGTACCTTTGAGATCTGGCTTAGTATCCAAGCTTAGTATTACATTAGAATAAAGTTTCTTTATACTTTCATTTGAGCAAGACCTAAGAAAGAATATTAACTTTATTATAATAGATCAAAATTTAACAAACCTAAATGTAAAATAAATAGGTTATGCTTATCCTAGTTTAGCAATGGTAGACACTACCCACTGAATAAAAATGGGAAACTTTTGAGTATAACTTTTTAGCATAACATCTTCAATTTTATTCCATACAGATAGTGCTCTATATTAGCAAAGTGAAGTTTATGTATTTAATTTCTAAAGTGTGTCTATAAGCAAAAATTAAATAATGATAAATATTAACAGATTTTATTACTTATCTTTAGTTGGCGAATCAAACAAGTTTTGGATTTTTGTTTTTTGATGCTGTATGCCCAACCCAAGGCCATGTATTATCTACAGGTATGACCTTGGTATAAATATAAAGTGGAAGTTCTCCCTCTCTCTTTTGATTCCTTTCTTCTTCATTGTATTCCTCCACCTTCCTTTATACTCAGAAAATAGAAAATACTTACTATATTAAAATACCATAAGGAAGCTTAAAATTGATTCTATATTAGTCTTCTTTCTGGGGTCACTATTAACAGAAGAAAATATAGTTACCTGAAGCAAAATGAAAATAATTTAGAAAAAAAAAGACATTGTACTGCCTACATTTGTCTGCCTACAAGTTTATTGGATTAAATAAACATAATTTGAGTACTTATTATATGTTGGACATTGTATATGCTTATCCCTGCTACCCTACATAGATTCAGATTTTATGGGTAATACTAGAGGCCCAGTGCACGGATTCGTGCACTGGTGGGGTCCCTCGACCTGGCCTGTGGGGATCAGCCAAAACCGGCTCTCCAAGATCCCCCGAGGGGTCCTGGATTGTGAGAGGGCTCAGGCCAGGCCAAGGGACACCACTGGTGCATGTCTGGGGCCAGGAAGGGACCACGGAGGGCTCAAGGGTGTGTCCAGCCCGTCTCACCCAGTCCTGATTGGCTGGACCCCAGCAGCAAGCTAAACTACTGGTTGGAGCATCTGCCCCCTGGTGGTCAGTGCATGTTATAGTGACTGGTCGAACGGTCGGACACTTAACATATTGGGCTTTTATTATATAGGATAGTTATATGGTGCCTATGCTGTATTTATGAAATAAATCAATTACCTATAGTTTGTACTCCCTGAGTTCCTGCATATTGTTAAATAGTAATGTTATGTTTCCCTCCAGTAAGTGTATCTTCACTACATGAGACACTGTGCAGCTGTGAGAAGAGTTTGAAGAATGTTATTAAAGAACAGAGTTAGAAAAAGGCCTGAAGAAAGGTCTTCTCTTTTATTGGAAGAAAATAAAAAATCCCTTTTGATTTCTAGTTAGTAATAAGGAAATTGAAACATGACATCCAGCCAGTGTACCCTTAGAAACAACACAACTCTATTTTGTGCTCTGGTAATGTGCCCGAGGACTTCCACATTCTTCTACTAAGTCATTTAGGAGGCCCTTTGAGTCTGGAGATTATGCATAATGTGTATTAATTTTTAAAAGAGCCTGGGGTTTACTGTCACTCTTCCAAAGAAAATTTAGAGTGAATGAATGTTACATGTTAGCATTCAGGAAAGAAAGAGATAATCCCTGGTCTTAGAATCAGAAAATGAAAATTGACTAACAGTACTAGTAAATATCCTCAGTGAACTGAACTATAAATAAAATTATTACCTCATAAAAACATTTTCAGTGTAGTCTATTGAAAGTATTTTCAATTTTCAAGCTAATATAAATTATTCAATGGAAGCACCAAAGGTACTAATGCCTCTTTGGTGTGTTTTTTTTCCAGCTAGAAGATGACATCATAGCTAAAAAGATGTACTTTACAAAAATCATAGATTTCGTACATAGTATCACTTCAAATAATTGGTTTTATATTGAGTTTTCAGTTCTTGGATTTATAGGTAAGCAATGGGTCAATTTTGTGGGGTCCAGATTTTTGGCATGATAACCTTAATAGTTCTCAAGAACTTATCAAAAAGTTTGTTACTAAATGAAAAGGAATGGCATGATTTCTACAAAAATACAATTACTTTACTAGTAAAATCAGATTCAAGGATCTGAATTTCAGAAAATGTATTTTTAAACCAAATTTTTTTCTGGATGGACAATGTAAATAAGCTGATTGACATATATGCATATGCGTTACAAAAATGTTAAGATAGCACCCCTTGTTAAATGCTTGCTGTGAGTCTGGCACCCAGGTTAGCTCAGTGACTAAGATGAACTTCTCTCGATTTTACATAGAAAAATACATGCAAAAAGCATTGTACTGCGAAGTTCCTGTAATTCCCATATTCCAAAACTGATATACTATAAAAAATATAATAGTATATGAGTTATATCCACCAAGGAAAGTTCCTAAAATTGTGCTCATGATGAGATTTTTCACTTTCACAATTTTCTGTGGACTTTCCTTTTCCTTTCTCTTCTCCCTTCCATTCTTTTTAAAAATTGCTCTGATGGCAGCAGGTTGAAGTACCATGCTCTCTTTGTAGTGCGTGTTTTCATTGCTCAGGCAGGGGCCCTCTCTTATTTTATTCTTTTGTTCTATGCCCAATTCCTACGCCCACTTCCTCCCACCCCTCCAATAGATTTTCACTCTAATATGTGCAAAATATCATATAAGCATACATATATCCATGTACAATATTTGGTGCTGATCATGTTTGTACCTATTTAAAATTGACATAGGTGGTGAAGTGATAAACCTCTCTCTGTTCCTTACATTTTTGTCCTCAAAACTAGATGTTAAAACTGTCAGCATGTTGCTTTGTGTTTCAGTGGTTCTCAACCTTCCTAATGCCGCGACCCTTTAATACAGTTCCTCATGTTGTGGTGACCCCCAACCATAAAATTATTTTTGTTGCTACTTCATAACTGTAATTTTGCTACTATTATGAATCGTAATGTAAATATCTGATATGCAGGATGTATTTTCATTGTTACAAATTGAACATAATTAAAGCATAGTGATTAATCACAAAAACAATATGTAATTATATATGTGTTTTCCGATGGTCTTAGGCGACCCCTGTGAAAGGGTCTCCCACGTCCAGCATCCTGGTGCGGGCTCAACCTGCCCTTGCAGGTATGCCTTTTTCTGACTGACAGTCCACCTAGAGCAGTGGTTCTCAACCTTCCTAATGCCGCGACCCTTTAATACAGTTCCTCATGTTGTGGTGACCCCCAACCATAAAATTATTTTTGTTGCTACTTCATAACTGTAATTTTGCTACTATTATGAATCGTAATGTAAATATTTGATATGCAGGATGTATTTTCAGGGGTCGCGACCCACAGGTTGAGAACCGCTGGTTAGTTCATTGCTTCTTACTGCTGCATGAGTGCTACCTAACAATGCATTTGGCTCATCCACTCCCGGAGTGGTGGACCTTGATGGCCTGCAACTCTGCCACCACAAAGAAATGAAGTGCCATGTATGTTCCCTGGAGCAGGATCACGGAGGGCAAATTAGCTGGGTCTCTAAGTACTGCCAGGTTGCCTCGCACATGGGCTGAACAGTGTATATGCCCATTAGCAGTGCATGTGGGCGCCTGCTTCCCCATATGGTTGGTAACATTTGATTTTACCCAGCAAACAATTTTTTTTTGATGATGAGCAGAGTATAAAGCATTTCTCGGGTTGTTAGTAAAATCCATCTGTTCTTCATAAACTTACTTGACCACTTTCTTTCCCAAAGTTTCTATAAAGTGGTATGCATGGGCTGAACAGTGTATATGCCCATTAGCAGTGCATGTGGGCGCCTGCTTCCCCATATGGTTGGTAACATTTGATTTTACCCAGCAAACAATTTTTTTTGATGATGAGCAGAGTATAAAGCATTTCTCGGGTTGTTAGTAAAATCCATCTGTTCTTCATAAACTTACTTGACCACTTTCTTTCCCAAAGTTTCTATAAAGTGGTATGGAATCCAATCTCAAGGCCCTGAAGGTTTTTGCTCAGCTTTGGTTAAAATAAGAAGGAAATTAGGTAACAGTAATACCTGATGAGAAGCTTGCAGAGAAAATAATTTTGTTGACATATTATTCTGAGAATTTTAAATTTTCTTTTATCTTTCTCAGCAAAGTCAGGTATGAGAAGGATAGAGAATATTCACTTTCTGACTACCACAAGAGAACATTGAACAAGGAGCTTGCTGTCTGTGATGCTGAAGTCTTCTTTAAGATTAACTTTACAAAGGCTTTTTAAAGTCATAACAGTTCTTTAGCCAATATTTACCAAAAATATGAGCTTGCTACATAGGATTTTACAATATGCTAACAAAGATAAGGAAAACAGAGATATTAAATCAACTATTTCCATCAGTAAATCACTTGCTTTGGTTCCTTTTTCTCCACAGGAAAGCTGTTTAAATCTGAGGACTTAACTGACTTCATACAGTTTTTTTTAATGTTCTACAAAGATAAACCCATAGACTGGCTGTTGGCGGACATTTTTCAGGTGAAGATGTGTACCCCAGGAGAAACTCCTGTGAGTATGTTTTTACTTTGTAAATACCAAATATTTTAGAAGAATACTATCTGTCTAATATAATTACCTAAAATTTGTTTACCAAACCAAAGCTGATGAGTGCATCAGTTTTTTAACTTCCAATATTCTAAATTTATATTGACACTTCTACTGAGAGGTCAAAGAGCAGTGAGAAGTGCAAACAATGGGACAAAAAAAAGTGAAGAAACAGAAAAAAGGCAATAAAATGGTAGGCCTAAATCCAAACATGTCAGTATTTACTCCAAACATAAACAGCCAAGATGTACCAACTAAGAGTTTATCAGAATAGATTAAAAAAACACTATGCAATTAATTGCTGTCTGTACTCAATTTAGATATGCTATAGACAGGTTAAAAGTAAAAGATGGAAAAAGAGCCCTAGTCAGTTTGGATCAGTGGAAAGAGCATCGGCCTGCGGACTTAAGGGTCCTGGGTTTGATTCTGGTCAAGGACACATGCCCGGGTTGCAGGCTTGATCCCCAGTAGAGGGTGTGCGGGAGGCAGCTGATCAATGATTCTCTCTCATCATTGATGTTTCTCTCTCTCCCCTCCCTTACTCTCTGAAATCAATAAAAACATTTTTAAAAAAGAGTATGTGAGTTTTAAGCAAAGATTATTGTTTCTCTTTTTCCCCAGGAGAAATGTGTAGAACGAAATAAGCAAATTCGTATTCGATATAAACCTTCCCTTTTCCAGCATGTGGGCATACAGTCATCACGACTTGGAACTGAACAATATTTAAAAGTAAGATTTTGAAATGGTAATTGAAAAAGAAATAATGTTTCATGAACTTATAAACTATTATTTAGAAAAGAAGTGATCAGAACATGAGAGAGACTGTAAAATATGGTTGTTTAGATACAATTCATCTTATGCCAGACTGTATATTGTGAAGACCAATCATCTTTTTTTTTTAAAATATTTTTTTATTAATTTCAGAGAGGATGGAAGAGGGAGAGAGAGATAGAAACATCAATGATGAGAGAGAATCATTGATTGGCTGGCTCCTGCATGCTCCCCGCTGGGGATCCAGCCCGCAACCTGGGCATGTGCCCTTGACTGGAATCGAACCTGGGACCCTTTGGTCCGCAGGTTGACGCTCCACCCACTGAGCCAAACCGGCTAGGGCACCAATCATCTTTTCAAGACCCAAGTTATCTATCATGGTTGGAAAATTCAGCCTATGTAAACTTCTTTGCCTCACTGTTTGCAGCTGTGCAATTCAAAGAGTAAGACTAAAAAAAGTGTTTTGAAAATCATAATAAAGTTAATTATTTTATTATTTTTAATGAAATAACATTAAAAATTATATAAGAATATTTCAAAATAAAATGCTTCTGCTATTGAATTCAAATGTATTTTCATTCTTATTTCAGGCCACTATTTACCAGATGAGCAAAAATTCAGCAGTTTGGTTTTTAGTCATTTTTAAATTTCCCTTCATTTTTGGAAACAATTTATAATTGACTTCAGCATCTTGGTGAGGTAGAAGAAGCAGACTTTAGAGTCAAAACACTGCGTTTTAAGTTATGGTATATATATATGGTATATATATATATACCATATATATATATAGTATTTAGGGCAAGACTACCGCTCTTCTGAGCTCTCTTCATCTATAAACAAGGAGTTTAAATGAGATGATCCTTCAGATTTCTTCTATCTTTGAAATACTATTGACATGTCTGCACACAACAAAGCGAATGATTGCTTTAATCCTTAGTTGAATTGAGAGAAAGGCACATCTGTATCCTCCCATCATTTCATCCATTATTTATGACCTTCTTTCCACCTTCTCTTTCTTTGTGTATTTATTATATGGTGCTTGGGATAGTGCCTGGAACATAGTGTAAACTCAGTAAATGTTAGCTATTAGCTATCAGGCAAGGTGGAATTCAAGATAAAAATGTTGGTTAAACAAGACAACAAGTGTCTGGAATAATGAAAATTTAACTGTTAGGAATCTTTATGTAAAAAGTAATACCATCAAAATGTATGAAACATAGCCATAGATGATGCAGAAAGAAATTTGTCTACACCATTCTATGCTTATTTTCAAAATAAGTTATAATAGCATTTGTTGGTGCTATTATAATGGGATATTTTTCTTCCATATATATATATTAGAGGTTCAATGCATGAAATTTGTGCAAGGGGCTCAGCCCTCGCAGCCCCGGCTTCGTCTGGAGGTCGTCCGGATGCTTGTTCTGCTGTTCGGTCTAATTAGCATATTATCTCTTTATTATATAGGATTTTTCTTGCCGAGTAAGATATTTTAATCTTACCTTTGTAAATTCACAACAGATTCAGTAGAATGTACATCTAATCACTAATTTTTTGATGTTATAATCTTAGTTTTTCTTCTTTTTTTATATTTCATACCACCTAAAATAAATAGGAATATATAACAGCTTAATGCTATATCAAAGTGATTATATTTAAATTATTTTTTAATTTCTAACAGGATATCTACTATTAGGAGTTACATAATTCTAACACCTTTTATAATGATCAGAATTCTTTGGAAAAAAATGGCGTAACAAGGATTAGACTATTTCCCAACCTACTTCATAGTGGATAAGCGACTATGTCATATTTTTAAAAAGTTAAACCTTCAATTATAAACTGGTAAGTATAAAAATGATATACTGTATAAACATATAGAATATTATCAGATGTTAATCTTATTTTATATCCTTTGTGTATTAAAGTTTTGTACATATAACTTTTTAAAAAATATTTTTAAATTTATTTCAGAGAGGAAGGGAGAGGGAGAGAGAGAGGGAGAGAGAGAGAGAGAGAGAGAGAGAGAGAGACATCAATGATGAGAGAGAATCATCCATCGATTGCCTCCTGCATGCTCCCCTCCCCCCACTGGAAATCAAGCCTGCAACTTGGGCATGGGCCCTGACCAGGAATCAAACCACATGTGACCTGGCTGTGCATATAATTTTCTGATACACTCCATAATATTCTATTTTAGAAGAATCAATCAGTATTTCCTTTCCCCCCTTTTGTTTATCATGTACTGTAGATGTAGATGTACAGTGAATTTGGAGACAATAGATCTGAGTTTAAGGCCTTATTTGTATCAATAGATATAACAATATCGATGAATCTCTGACACATTATACTAAGTGAAAAAATCCAGTTGCAAAAGACTTTCAATTGTATGATTCTATTTGTATAAAATTCTAGGTAAAGCAGGTCCTGATGTCTCATTATGATTGTAATTTGCATTTCTTTAATGATCAGTGATGTTAAACAACATCTCATGGAGCTTGTTATAAATATACACATATGTGTATATGTAAATATAATGAAATATACATTTTAATGAGATATATATTTGTGAAATGTATATTCAGATATTTTCCCATTTAAAAAATTGGGTTATTTGCCTTTTTAATTTTGAATTGTAATATTCCTATTTTGGCATAGTCTGACCACATGTCTCAGCTATGGCTTGCCCTTTCATTTTCTTAATAGTGTTTGCTTGTTTATTTTTATCTTTCTCTGTCACATGCTTTCTCAAATATTTAGTGATTCATAGTTGTCTGTTGAATTTGAATGAGCTTATAGAAAACTAGAGGCCCAGTGCATGAAATTCATGCACAGAGGTGGCGGAGGGGGGGGTGTCCCTCAGCCCAGCCTGCACCCTCTCGCAATCCAGGACCGCTGGCTCCTAACTGCTTGCCTGCCTGCCTGCCTGATTGCCCCTAACTGCCTCTGCCTGCCTGATCGCTCCTAACCACTCTATATGCCTGCCTGATCACCCCTAACCGCTCTGCCTGCCTGATTGCCCCTACCCCCTCGCTTGCCTGCCTGATTGCCTCTACCCCCTCTACCTGCCTGCCTGATCGCCCCTAACTGCTCACCTGCCTACCTAATTGCCCCTAACCGCCTCTGCCTCGGCCCCCACTGCCACAGCTTCGTCAGGAAGGATGTCTGGAAGGTTGTTCAGCTGTCTGGTCTAATTAGCATATTATGCTTTTATTATTATAGATGTTAATATTGGTCAGTATGGGTAAATTTTCCCCCCTCCCCCTGTCCCCCACACTACACTTATCCTCATATTTATTTATTAAAATGTAAGAATGAAGGAGGCTTCCTAGGAAGTTTTGGCATATAGGTAGAATTTGTTGGTTTGCAAACTATATTAGTGTATTTGAGTGGCTAGTTTTCTATTGTTTTGTGGTGTGTATGTGTGTGTATGTGTGTGTGTGTGTGTGTGTGTGTGTTTTTCCCCAGTCATTTGAGAGAAGTTGCACCAGTGTGCCAGGATACAGGGTGCTTTGTTCTGGGCACAGGTGCCTGCGCTGGTTATATCAGGCTGCTCATTCACTTTGGTTAGTGAAGACTGGGTGTGTGTGCGTTGCCTGAGCCATAAAGTCCGGCTGCTCAGGTTTGGGCGATAAATGCTCCTGACACAGACTCTCATTTCATTCTCACGGTTCATCCAAGTTTAGCTCCCATCTTCCACCAAATCTGCCATCTCCGCTGTCGCCCCCATCCATGTGTCTAGGCACAGATTCCTCATCCCTTCTTTGCCAGTCCGTACTCATCCATTACATTTATACCTCTCATCAATTTGATGAAAGGTCTCCTAGGCTAAGAGCCTCCCTGCATCCTTGACACTTTGGAGTTTCACCTTTTTTGTGTATTTACAGTGGGGCCTTGACTTACGAGTTTAATTCGTTCCGTGACGGAGCTCGTAACTCAAATTACTCATATGTCAAATCAAAAAGTGAACGAGTGAGACACGTGATGCTGGGCTGATGTTGTGGCATTCACTGTAACGTTCGCTGTGCCAACTAGCGGTGGGGTATCTGAAGCTGGCTCGTAACACAAATTTCAGCTCGCAACTCAAAGCAAAAAATCGGCCGAGAGATGGCTCGTATCTCAAAAAACTCGTTAGTCGGGACACTCGTAAGTCAAGGCCCCACTGTACTGTCATTTCTTTGAGGTCTAGCCATCCACCATCTTGAACCAAGTGTTTTGATATTTCATTTCAGTTTTTTAAAACTTTTCTTTTTCTAATCCTCACCTGAAGATATGCTCATTGATTTTAGAGAGAGAGGAAGGGGCCGAGAGACAGAAACATCGATGTGAGAGAGAAACTTTGATCAGTTGCCTCCTGTACATGCCCCAACCAGGAAGGGGAGATCGAACCCACAACCTAGGTATGTGCCCTGACCAGAAATCAAACCTGAAACCTTTTGGTACACGGGACAATGCTTCAACCAACTGAGCCACCTGACCAGGACAACTTTTTAAAAATTCAATTTTATTAAGTAAAATAGGATTTACTTATGGCCCCGTAGAGATTGTCTTCCTCTTTTCTTTATCCAGGACCAACATTTTTCTGATGTTTTCCTTAATATTCATTCCATAACTCAGTCTTCTTTTTTAAAACACAACTTTATGTAAAATTTTTTCCCTAGCCAGTTAAATTATATATTACACTTCTCAAAAAACTCCTTTTTAAATGTAAGCTATAGTTTAATCAGCAGAAAAAAATAGTTTATCTCTATCTACCTTGTAGTTCAAAAATAATTTAATGAAACAAAATATATCTTAGTGATAATTTTTTTTAGTTTCTGAAATGTAAAAATCTTGCCCATTTTCAGTTTAAAAGTTCATTATCACTTTATGTTCTACATCTATAATAAACTTGCAAAAATTTCTTTTAGAAACAACTAAAATATTTCAGTATCAATAATTTCTGAAAGCAGTGGAATTTATATAATTTGATAAGCTTCCTCCTACATGAGAAGTCATTTTCCTTTCACTGCAGTGGAAGCAGTTGAATTAGTATAATTTGCTTTTGCTTCCTCCTACATGAAAAGTAATTTTCCTTTTACTGCATTGCTCTGGGCATAGGGCAAAGTATTTCGATTGGAGATAGGTTTGCCACATAAAATAAAGGACTTCCAGTTACTTTGAATTTCAGTTAAGTAATGGCTTTTTTGTGTGTGTGACACATTTGTTTTGTTATTGTTGCTAAATCTAAGCATAGTTGGAGGTGATGGAGGGAGCCATAAGTTTATGCCCTTGACTTGTATTAACCAATGACATATGGAATGTTTGCATTTTCTTCAAAACTTTTAAAAATAAAATAAAATGGAGGTTTAAAATATTTGTACCTTATCTACAGCAGTTTGTTGGCTGTAATAACAATCCAACAATACAGATTTCCCAGTGGTGGAAATCTACTTTTAATCATTTTAACACCACGACAATATTAAAACTAACATTGTCTCATATATCTTAAGAGTTATATCTTTTGCCAATGTAAAGTTATCTTCTCTATTTAATAGGTGGAAGTGTCAAAAAGACAGAAAAATGAAAGAATATAATCAAGTATTTGTCATGAAAATAATTACATCCTCATGAATTAATATTTCTAGATGTTACAGTTTTATATATTTTTATTTTTTTTTCAATTATGGTTTACACTCAATATTATTTTGTATTAGTTTCAGGTGTTCTGCATAGTGGTTAGATGATCATATACTTTACGAAGTGTCCCCCCCCCGATATTTCTAGTACCCACCTGGCACCATACATAGTTATTACGATATTACTGACTTTATTCCCTATGCTGTACTTTACATCCCGTGACTATTCTGTAACTACCAATCTAATTCTCAATCCTTTCACCTTTTTCACCCATTACCCCAACACCCCTCCCATCTGGCAACCATCAGTCTGTTCTCTGTATCTATGAGTCTGTTCCTGTTTTGTTCATTTATATTGTTCTTTAGATCCCACAAGTACTGTAAGTGAAATTATATGGTATGTGTCTTTCTCTGACTGACCTCTTTCACTTAGCATAATACTCTCTAGGTACACCCATGCTGTTGCAAATGGTAAAATGTTCTTTTTTATGGCCAAGTAAACTCCATTGTATATAGGACCACAGCTTTTTTTGTCCGCTTGTCTATAGATGGGCACTTAGGTTGCTTCCATTTGAAAGAATATATCCACCCCTATGTTCATTGCAGCATTATTTACAGATTAGTTATTTGTATTTCAGGAAATACGAAGCTAACCATAACAAGAAGAAACTCTGTAATACCTTGGGACCTCAGAAACTGTGCTTTCTAAATGGCATCTTTCAGACATTGTAATAATGAAAGTATATAATTATGTAGAAAAGGAGAAAACAGTGAGCAAACTAGTGGACTTGAAAGCATTAAACTCTTATGTCAAGAAAAATTAGAACATTTATTTATGATGTTTATACTTTTACAATTTAATATTAAAATAGTAAAGGCAGGGAAGCTTTTAAAAATTGAGAAATGTATTTTGTTGACTTAGATAGTGATGCTATTACATAATCTCAATAAATAGCTAAAAGCTCAGAAACTTGACACTGTCATGGACAGGTTCAGTATGAATTGGTGTATGTTCTAATACATTTTGTGAAGACATCTAAAGAAACAGAAAGCAAAAGTTGAAGCAAGCCAGGGTCTGACAGTGCCATAATATCTTCTTGTTTTTTAAATAATGTATTTAAAATGATAAACTTACGCCTAAATGCCGTTTGATCTGATTACCAAACATCTTGATATTATATATTCTAATAGTCATTCAGTTCTAAAGATTTCATACTTTCTCTTATTATTACCTTTTTAACTCATTGGTTATTTGGGAATGTGCATGGGTTTTAAAAAGTATATATTGGTTTGCCATATTTTATTGTTGATTGCTTATTTAATTACATTGTTAGAGAACCATATGTAATAAAATTTGTGAACTGTCATGAATTCTTATGTTTCATACAAATTTGAAAAGAATGTATAGTCTCTATGCATTTTAAAATATGTTGCACTAATTTGTTTTTATAAATGTATTATGCTTTTAAAATGTATTCTTAAAATATTCCTATTTATTGGGTACAGGGCTCCCTTATGTCAGCCTTTTAAATTTACTTGTTCAAGTCTTTTAAGCCCTTACTAATTTTTGTCTGCCTGGTCCATCAATTTCTTACAGGAGTCCATTAAGATCTACTATTCTCCTTGTTATTCTATTGAGTTTTAGTTTATTTATTTTGATAAATAATGAGATATTTCCTCCTTTTTATCCTTTGTCAAGTATGAAAATCTGAATTCATACTGCTGTTTTATCCTTGCGTGCCAAAAATGCACATTTATCTCAGTATGAAGTGTATTACATACCAATGTATAAAGAGAATATGCAAGATGAACTGTTCATGTCTCCATTTCATTCTCGCCTTTTAGAGGAAAAGAAGTTATATCTCAAAGCTGGTGAGGGGGGGAGAAAAAGACATTATATGTATCTTAAAAATTTTTAAATTTGACTTAAATTGTGAATTTTTAAAATTAAATTTGCCAGAGCACATTCCAGGCTAATATGAAAAATTAAAGCTAAGTCCAGGTACAGCATTTTTTTGAAAGGATGGCAACATTCCTTGAAAAGGTGCCTACTTGGGGGAGGCCAGGGGATTGTCAAGGGCGGGGGAAAAAAAGGACATATATGTAATACCCTTTGTAATACTTTAAGCAATAAAAAAAAAAAAAAAGAAAAGGTGCCTACTTGGACTTCATAGTCTACCATCCAAGATTCAAACAAAACTCCTGAAGGGGTGGGACCATGAAGTGGAACAGTATTAAAGGATGCTGTCCGACATATCACTGACTGTTACTGAAAAGCTGAGATGATTCCAAAGGAATGCTGCTTTGGCTCTCAGAAAGAGGCATTTGAATTCTGACTAAAATACCCTGAGAGTGGCAGATGCTAGAAGGAAAAGAAAAAAAAGAAGTTAGAAGACAGCCTTAAAGATTTAACCCCCTAGCTGCTGTCCTTAATGAACTGATTGCAGAATAAGAGTTTTGGCGGTCAGCACAAAGCATTTCTAGAAAACGTTCCTAATGTGACCAGGAGAGATGTCCCCGCTTCCATCCCATCCCTACTGCTCCCAAATGCTGGGTGTTTGGAGGATCTCACTCACCTGCAGGGCCTCTGGTCTGAGGTCAGAGGGAGGGGAGATTTGGAGAACCTTGGACACTCATCTAGGATATAGCAGAGTAAATAGTGCTTATTGGTTGGTTTGGGCATTTGGTTTATAGCATTCATACTGATTTTGCTTCTTAAAAATCACTTTTTCTTCAAACTTACACGTGAAGGCAAATTATGTGTTTAAGCCTCTGACTCAATATAGCAGATAAGTTTGTAAAAACCACATTCAGACCAGATTTAGTGAAATCTTTTTTTCTTAAACACCTTTTTTTCAAGTGAAAAGAAGTTCTGCAAACATTGAGACATAATTGAAATTCTGTTGCCAAAATGTCTCTCAGGTATTGAGATAAGCCAACAACACATGCACTATTTACTATTGAAGTAAATAGTCATATGGTAATATTACTAATAGTAGTAGCAATTGTAAATGTGGTCACACCCATGGGTAGAAGGGAAAGAGAGACCCTCTACTAACTGGAGTGTGTAAAACTATCTTGGAGTTTGTTGTATACTCTTATCTGGACCTTCCACCCTCTGGCAGAATTGCAACAATTATGAACAAACTAGAGGCCTGGTGCACAAATTTGTGCATGGGTGGGGTCTGGCCGGCCCGCCCTGATGGGGGCCCATCTGGCCAGGCCCTCAGGGGGAGAGGGGCCTCAGGCAGTTGGTGGCAGGTCCTGCCCCTGATCGGGGTGTTGGGCACTGATTGGGGGCCGGGTTGGCCAGTGGGGTGGGGGTGCAATGGGGACCCGGATCAGGCTGGTTGGCTGCCGCAGTGCACATCACAGCCACCGGTCATTCTGGTTGTTCTGCCTTTTCGGTCACTGGGCTTTTATATATATAGATAATGGGAACTAAATCTGGGCAGGCTTTTCCCATTGAAACCATCTTCTTATTTTTTCCCCCCTTAATTACCTTGACATCTATTTTTAGATGGTGTGTTGATATTAACAGCCAACCAAAGGCATGAGGAAGTTAATTATATGAGGAAGTTTATATGAGCCAATAGGTTTTTGTTTTGCTGGTATTTTCTTTTTTTAAAAAAGTGATAAAATTAGTGATTTCTTAGGAAAATGCAGTTTACCCAAATTGATGCAAGTAGAGAGAGAAAGCTTAAACCAATCAATATTCATAGAAGAAAAAAAGTTTTTGAGAAATAACAAAAAAAGCACAAAGAGGTACCAGACCTAGATTGTTGCACAGGGAGATTCAAGTACACTTTTAGAAACCAGGTAGTCCCAATATTTTAAATTTGTTTCAGAATATAGCAAATAATGAAAAATTTACAAATTATTTTATTGAGTAGGTATATCATGAACACCTACTCCTGATGGTAGCACAAAAAGAAAGCCACAGACCTATATCATTTATGACAATTGATATAAAAATCTTAAGTGCAATATTAGAAGTAGATTCCCAAACCAGTAGGAAAATAACACATCATAACCTGGTGGTGTTTGTTTTTTTTAAACTAGTAGTGCAAGAATCAGATTAGGATTCTGTTAGAAAATTTGTTAATAGAGCATACAATACTAATGGGTCTGAGGAGAAAAATATGATTACCTTCACAGATGCTAAAAAAGCCTATAAAATTCAACAGCTACTTCCTATAAAAAAATTAAATTGCAATGAATAGATACTTAACATGATAAAATTAAAATTGCCCGATAAATTACACATATGGAAATGTATGTACTAAAATTATTTGTCGATATAAAATTAGAACCTTGGGTATCCTGTATTTTAATTTGCTATACTGGCAATCATAGATAAAATGTACAAGCCTCATCCTAAAGATGGTTCTTACTTAATGGAGAAATAGTAGAGGCATTTGCACTGAGATCAGAAATATGGCAAGAATTTTTAGTTTTCAGCTTCTTCATTGCAAACTTTGAATATATCCTTTAGAAATTATTTCCAGCAAGTAGAATTGTCTTGGGTATGGGCCACAGAATTATGTTGAATAATAATAGTTGGAAAGACTGAAGAGAGAAATACTACTATAAAGTACCTCAAGTTAAAAAATAATCAGTAAACACTATCCAAACACACTCCAAAAGGTGACAGCATCAAAAGTCTAGAGTTGGTAGCCTTATTACTGATGCAATGTGAAAAATGTTCCCTGACACTGACGCCTCGCCAATAATTAATTACATATTGTGCATGGGTCGCCATCAAGCTCAGTCTGAGACTCTTTAACAGGAGTATCACAAGTCAATAAATATTTTATTCTTTCAATAAAATTGAATCGTGATTATAGCAAGTTCAAAGTCCAGATTTCCTACGAAATATAAGTAGTAAAAGCTGCATGATCCAACATGTAAGGGGCAAAAAAGAAAAAAAAAATTCAGTAGTACATTTATGCTACCTTTTTATGTTTAGTGTGCTGGTTGAAACTACAGGTTCTGAAAGAGACAGGCCTGTATTTCAACCCTGTTATTTCTACATTTACTAGTCAAAGGCTCTGGCAAGCAAATGATCTTCAGTTTCTTTACCTGGATGGTTGTGAAGGTTAAATAAGATCTTGCAAAAACCCTTAAGAGTACAGCAAGCACAATACATGCTAGCAATTCATAAAAGTGTTTCAGAAAAAAACACGACAATGCATTTATTATGTTAACATCTAATATATTTCTATTCATCACGCACACGAAATAGGACGCCTTCCTGCTCTCCCCAGTCACCTCTCCAGACCTAAACAGCTGCAGGAAAAGCCTGGATGCTGTTCAAAACCTGATGTACATGGAATTCAGGACCCTAAGATGCGCACCAGGAGGCAGAACCCCACCGTTTGCAGAAAGGGCAGGCACCGGGCGGGAGGGAGAGGTTGCGGAGCTCATCACGAAGAATCCCTCCCCTGCGGACCCGAGGGGCCAAGCCCGCGCAGCCG